AATTTGAAAAGGATTAATGTAAAAATAAGGAGTAGTAATTCTACTGAATGAACAATTTAAAACTGTACCCATATATATCCATATACTGAGAAAAGATTAGTAAAAAAGTAATCATCAAATTCATATTCACACAGAGAGAATTAAAAAAGCGACTTTAATTTTTTTTGTTTTCATTTTTATTTCAATCGAACCCTTTGCCTGTTAGTGTTAGCTTAGTCATCTGTCCCTCATAAAACATTCTTCGTATCTACGTACCACCTAGAAAATAGTAATGTTTAGATTATTAAATATGAAAGTTCTTCAATTACAACATGTCCAATTATAACTGGGATTCCTGACCACATTGTCTCCCTAACTCTATCTACTTTATAATATTTTACTAGTGTCGCCTTTTGCTATCTTTCCTTCATCATACTTAAAACACGAAAAAACTGCGACGCAATCATAGTGAGAAAGTATATGGAACAGAATGAAACATTGACAGCGGTATCCCTGTTTTATTTTTCTAAGTATTAACCAAAATCTATCCAGTCTTTCAAAACTTTTTTCGAAATGCTTTTTACCAGTAAAACCAACTCCAAACGACAATAATAATAATAATAGTAAAAATACGAATAATATCAACTACGACATTAGCAATTATATATATATATATATATATATAATATCCGAGCAATTAACAAACTAGTAATCATACAGTGATAGTTATATAACAGATAAATGATGCAATGACATTTGTGGTCATGGTTGTCGTTAGTGTCGTCGTCGTGGTAAATGAGTAAGTGAGTGATGGATTAAAATCTAGACATTAAAAATCAGAAAAAATATATTTACTTTATATAATTCGCGCTGGTTCACTCTCTAACCCTATGAGTTTCTCAGTAAAGTTTCAGTATGCCTAAATATATAAATAAAGTGAATTATCAAAGCTTATTTCACTTATGTGGGGAAATTACTTAAATGATAAGCACAGGACGCCCTGACTGTAAAACTTGGCTCCAAGTTACACCCCATACATATAAATATATATAAATACATAAAGTGGCGCCGAAAGCTTTTACAGTTTGGCGCCATTCACTATCTAGTTTTGCCCTCACAAGTAATGACACCTGGCACCAAATGGGTGCCATTTAATGGCGACAGAAAATGAGACAAAAGATTTTTGGTTGGCTGGGTATATGTATGTGAGTGAGTCTGTTTGTGTAAAGTGGGGCGGGGAGAGAATAAGTGGTAATGTTGACAAAAACTAAATATATGGAACAGCAACAAAATACTTAAAAATCCACATTATTATTAGCACAATAAATTTTACATTATATATATACATATATATGATAGTTTTAAAAAAGCAGTGAGAAAATTTCTGTTATATTATAAACAACACATAATTTGACATTGAAATTTATGTAACACACTTAATACGATATATGCCTGTCCGCATGTGCAATTATATATGTATGTATACATATATGTCACAAAAATTTTGACATTATTTCAAGTCAATTTTTAAATAGTTATAATACAGTACACACATGAATTCGAGTGTTTACTGTATATTTAAAGTAATTTTAAATATCCCACATTATTGCTCTATATATACACACAGGTTAAAACAAACATATAAAGTATTAAACGATATGTTGGGCTCTTGCTTTGAATACTGTGAGAAATTCAAACAGTAAACTTCATATGTTCGGTTCATATTTGAATATGAATTATTTTTCTATTTAAAAGAAGCAACTTTTTGCAAAATTTGTATTTGCAGAGAATTGTCTCATGTGTGTGTTTGTGTACTTATTTATCCAACTACTTATCCAAATAACTTATTCCCACCTTGTATATATATATATATATATATAGAGAGAGAGAGAGAGAGAGGGAGGGAGGGAGGGAGTAATTACGAGACAAGCAATCCTTCACAGACCTTAAAAATGCAAACTTAATGACAGGCACTTAACAAACACAGCTAATTTACTTGTTACTAGTACTACCATTGCTACTACTAGAGTAATTATGAATATTATAACTAAATTCAATTGTGTGGAAAGAATGAAAAAGACAGCAAAGGATAATCTCAACAGTGTAAGTAGTAAAATCTGAAACACCAGCAAATTAAAATGATGAGCGACAATCACGAGCCAATCGGATTGGAATATTATGATTTCAAAAGAATAGGAATTCTTCACAGAGATCAAATACTATGGGTTTAAATCTGAGAAAAACTACAGATGAGTAGTGAGAAAAGAAAAAAACACTAAAACATTTGGCCAGTATTAGTTAGTTTTTAATAGTAACCTAATTAATATGGAGCACCAACGAAAATCACTCGCTTGTGTCACAAAGGTGGCTTAACTAATCAAAAGTGAAACAGTCAGTCAGTCAGTAACAACGTAGAACTTCGTACGTACGTACATCAGTTCGAGTTGCCAAACCACATTAACACAGAGATGCAGTTGTCGATTCAAATCCCGTAGTGGTAGAAGTAGTAATAGTATAAGCAGTAATCGGAAAGATTAGGGTTTGGCCGTGGTAATCAATGTTCAAGCATACGCAACACGTGGCCCAACCATCTCAGTCAGTGAAGACTCACAACCTCATCAACTGACTTACCATCATTCCCTAATACTCTGAGTATAACCTCACTATTACTTACCCAGTGATCTCAGCAGGTGAGAGCAATATTTCTACGACATCTGTAATCAAATACTAGTAACTTACGAGTATTCTATACCCTTATTGGCCATGTTTTGCAGCTGTAAAGTAAAACAGAACGAACTGTCTCGCATTATACCCATCCTTTAACTGACAGGATACCTCGCCTTCGCCATAGGTGACGTAAGTTGGAAAAAGCCAAACGAGCTTTCTGAATCCGTGCTGAGATTTCGTCAGACACCAACTCATTAGTGCTGAACAGACTTCCAGGATAAGTGAAGTCGTCGACGCGTTCGACTACTTCACTCCCTAGTTCAGATGTTGAGGTTATCCAGTCCCGAAGCAAACATTTGCGTTTAGAGGGGTAGAAACGCATCCTAATCATCCTGGCATTGTTGCTTAGTGATACCAAAAGACTCTGCATTTTATCAGTGTCTTCAACAACCAGGAATACGCCATCTGCGTATTCTATTATCAATCAACAACTTACATTTTGAAAAAGAGGAATGCAAACATAATATGTTGGCATTGCTAACTGAACTATTCACAAGACTCTGTTTTGCCATTGCATATAATCAGATTTTACGCATACTTCAACTCGACAAAGGAAATCTTTAAATAACAAATCATTCAGTCGTTGAAAATCCGAACGAACAAAATCATGAACAAACACTAATGCTTGTAAGAAAATCTAATGAACATATAGATTCAAGGTTATTCCTACTTTATGTTGTTTACTTTTTAAAACCTAAAATTTATATAATACACTGAGATAATTGTAAACACAAAGTAGTACGACAACTGATTAGTTAAGCTACTAGGTGTTTATGTTCATTATTCGAACAAAGTATTTACATTTACGCATTTGTTTTGTTCTGTCTACGATTAAATTTTGAAACAAGTGTCAAAATGAAGACAATAAGACGTTAAACTTTCAACACAAAAGATTTATTATGAATAATTTGTCAAAAGTGAACAATCATAGAAAAAGGGACTGTGAAATGGAATGGCTAACATTTGCGTAACAGTCAAATGTTCAGGATTTCATAGTACGAATAAAATTGAGAGAAATAAAATCAACAAAACAGTTAGATAATGATAATAATAATTTAACACTGATGAGTTCACATGAAACAGGACACAAAATAAATAAACAAGGAAATTAAAAATATTAATAAACCAAGATATCTAGGAGAAAGACAACAAACAGATACACCTTTATTGCTTTGATTAACATTGAATCATGAACCGGAATTCGAAAGATTTAGTCATTGGTACCCGCTGGCTAAATCAGTCTATGAACTCAACTTTTACCCATTAGACCACTGATGAACTAAACCCCACTTCACTTATTTCAGTTGAGTGATTGAATAGTGGTAAAGTTAGTTTTTAAACACTAAGAGTATAGATCAAAACTGAGTACATCAATCTATAATTGAATGGTAAAAGTCAATAAAAGATCCTAATGATGAAATAAAATAAATTACAATGGTGAAATTCATTTAGACTGTATTAACTGTAAGGCATTTCCTGATACACAATCAAGTTATTTTACGTTAAAGATAATAATAAGAGCAAAACAAAAAATATATATTTGAGGCTGAAATATTTTAGTGAATGTTTATTTTGAAAATAGAGTAGCAAGTTTGAAACTTTCTGTTAACAAAATCATTTTCATCGGCCTTAAAGTCAGCATACGGTTGCATATGCATCAATATTTTCTTCCGAAATAAGTATAATAATACAAATTATCAACATTCATGTGTACAGACGATTCATGATCATTTTATTTGTATAGAAAAGTTTCAAGATATCATCCACTGCTGTTAAATATCTCTATTTATACCATGAACTCAAGGTTATTCATAGATCTCTAGCAAAGTATGGATGGACTAGTTGAATTTGATCTTCTTCCAAGAAATGTAACCAATTAATAAAATATATGTGAAAATTATATTTAAAATAATCTCAGCGATTGAGATAATTGAATAATTCTAACGTTTCGTCCAGCAAACTTGTTTGGACTTCTTCAGGGTAATCTTAATCGCTGAGATTATTTCAAATATAATTTTCACATATAATGTTTTCTCTACACTCAGCGCCCAATTTCTGTCAAACTATTCGTTCTAATATTGACGAATATTCGTATAAATTAATAAAATATACTGGTACTTTTTAAAAATTTATGATCTAAATCCAGAGCTTGTGAAATATGCATTTGTTTCGGGTGTACCTTTAGTGCTAGCAAACTTCAGTAGCTGTTAAATGAAGTAACATATTCAATGTGGTGCTCATATATATATATATATATATATAGCTTTATACAACACAAAATAAAGACTAATTACCTGGATCTGAAGAATATCTTGAGCAGTTATTTTCTTCATTAATTTTATCTTGAATAAGTACTCGACTCCAGTGATAGGGGTTTAAACAAATTTGTGAGTTTGTATGCTTTTCTGAAAACTGACAAGGTCCAATCCGTCTGTATGGGATGAAAAAATGAAGTTGAAATTGACTTTCGACGAAATAATTTCGTGTATTATTATGAGACTAAAAGGATAGCAACTTCTACATTACTCAATCGAAATACTGAGTCATGGACAACCCGAAATGTATGCTTTTGAATTAAAATATTTTTACAATCGTTGGAAAGCAACAAGTGAAGTTTTACTAGACAGTAAATTGTAAGATTTTAATGAAACAACATATTGATAGTAACGAATTAAATATAATGCTAACTAAAAAATGGTCAGGTGGCATGGTAGGTTGAATGACAGGATTCAAACATACTCGTAGTTTACATAACGAATTGTCCTGTATAATAACTATGAAAACCTGTTTGCGAAGTTACTGAGTCACATAAGTTTCTTGATTTTTTAAAATGAAGTAAATTGTCGTTACAATGCTTTTGTTTTAATAATGTTTGGAAAACAAAAAAGCAGTACTTTCATAATGATGTACTTGAGTTGGAAATTGATACATAAACACGGCGAGATTATGCACTGGTCGCAAACAACATACACAAATGTATTAAAACTGGTAAACCTGGTCGTGGAAATTTATGGTTCATGTATAGCCCATTAAAAATCAATGATATTAAACTCAACAAATACCTAATGATAAAACAATACATTTATTTCATGAATATAACTGTGAAGAAAAAAAATGGATGAGAAACAGAACCTGGTATATTATTCAATCGGAACGATGTACAAAACTCTAAACACCACAATAAGAGAAATCTTAAAATAAGAGTAAGTCATAAAATGAGATTAAGCAACGAGAAGTAGGTACAAGACACTAACAAGTTGAACATTGAGAGTAAAATAAAAGATATGTCACTGGCACTTGTTCTCAACTGCAATAATTTGGTTCATTAGACCCAGGTATTCACCAACTCGAAGATGCTATACGAATGGTTCGGGCTGGTATAAAACATCCACATTTATGGTCATGGACTCTAAGCATAAACAAAGAAATTGATTTAGACGATATTAGCGAGTTGATGACAATTACATGCTTTGTTGCATGTTACAGTGGATCGTGACAAATTTATGTGTAATTTTTGCTTGAACCAGAACATACACTCATATCCAAGCAAAGCTGCAGCTTGGTGGTTTCAAATTTCATCTGTTTTAGCTCCAAACGCCTCTCCAAATCCTTGTGTACCTAACCCTTAGAAAACAGGTTTGCTCCACCCTACACAGTGATCCCGTAACAACGGAACGATGATACTGCCATATTACTTTATTCCTAAAAAATCAAATCATAAGCGTACAGCTGGACAGATTACAGTGTTAATAAGCTAGGGAATATTTCACTGGTATGGAAAAAAGTAGTTTTCCGACCAAACGATATCAGAGAAACACTAATAAATCTTTTATGCATTAGTATAATTACGCTAGAGAAATCATAAAGGGTTTGGTTTTGTACATCAAAACTTAATTTATTCGCACTCAACTAAAATCATTCACATCAAGATCATTAATAACATAGCTAAATTAAACGAGTTGAATATATACGTCTTTAGAATTGTGGCAACATAATGAAACATAGTGTATAAATTAAATGATAAAAAACTGCATTAGACGCCATCACAGATAGAGAGTTTGGTACTAGTTGTACTAAACATTAAATAAAATTGGTTATGATGTAAACTACTATGGTTTCATTTATTATGCGCTTTTCCAACTTGTTCTTTTAGTGAACAAACTACAACTTATTCAATAATAAAAGATGTGACTTGATTCACACACACAAAAAGCATACGTGCACATACATGTACACCCCCGAAGCAGACACAATCCTATAATGGAAAGAAATTCAGTTAGTTTTCGGATTAGAATGCATTAAGGTCTTTTACAGGCGCCAGCGCTGATATATATATATATATATATATATATATATATATATATATATATATATATACGCATATATAATCCACATGGAATCATTCAAATAGCAAAATGCAAAAACTGAAGTTCGATTTTAATCTAAAACAGCACACAGAAAATTTCGTTTCATTGCACTACGTCCGAAATAATTACCTGTCTAAGAGGAATATGTTCTTCTTTTACCTTTATTTGATATCAAGCAAATTGTAAATGGTGATAAATGATTCGTTTGCGTCGATATTTATACATATAATCCCATAAGTAGATACTAGGTGGGCGACACAATAAATGGTCAGTCTAGAATGGCGGCAAACGGATTTGCAAACGCCGCCAGCAAGCGGGAGCCAAACCAGAGCGACCTGAGTCGTCATCCACCCTAGTTTTCCCGACGATTTTTGAGCACATTTCTGAACTGTATATACACTAAGCAGCTGTTGAAACAATAATTAGTTTAATATTTAAGCGAAGTAGCTTTCAAGAATTTTTCTATGATCAGTCAATATTTGCTCTGGTAAATTAATAACCGTTTCATATATTCTGGTAATTTTTTCAACAACGAAAAACTAAATAAAGCTAGGAAATATATATATGTATATATACAAGTATCTCTGAAGATATAAATGTTTGTGAATCAGCGATAATCAAAAGGTGGATTAGTCCAAATATTTACTCACAGTGATAATAAGACTGATAACGGTGGAATTAGAATAGTAAATTTAACTAATGTAGTAACTGGTTTGTTAAAACACTGGTTCACCTAATTGGATACAAGCAACTAATTTGAATCTGTAAACAAGGTTTGTCCACTCGCTTTAGCAATATGTGCCATTGTATAAGGACTACCAAAAGTAGCCGGTTGCCCGAAATGAAGGTAAGAAATTTCAAATCTACAACCAGGCTGTCGAAATGTAATAACTAATCGAGGAAACCATACATGTGGTAAACGAGAACTCAGATGGAGTTAACCGATTTATTGTGTAATAAAAAATTAGTGCTTTCGTAAAACATGAAAGTCATGCCTTGAATACATTATTTTCAGATCTTCCTTCAATTGTCCTTTACATCCTTCACGATTTTTCCAATTCTGTAGTTATTGTTATTGATCTTTTTCCCTCCCTGCTCTCTTTAATTCAGTCTTCCCAATCTTCTGATGGAAGGCATTCCACATCCGATTGCTGCTACATACTATTTATATTTGTCAGTTTAAGTAGTATGCACCACAAACACATTAAGTGAGGCTTAAAGTCTAACCTGAAAATCAGTACACGAAGACTAAATTATAAATGTTACTTTTTTTTCAAGCTACAAAGGAAAATATCAAGCTAATCAGACTTATTATCTAGTAAACAGAAACACTAAATTTAACAAAATTAATCGAGAAAATACTTTTCTTACATGTGGCTTAAACACGCACGGATAAAATTTTAAATAAATCTTCCGCCGTCAAAATACAACTATACAAACTATCTTCATATAGTGAAAAACATTTAGTCCATGAATAACAAATTTTCATTCTACACAAAATAGAGATAATTTATTTTTAAGTATTTTGTCTGGAAGAATATTAACACTTGTAAGTGCGCCTGCGTACATTACCGGAAACTCAAGAAAGTGAATATTTTGAACACTATATACTAGAATTTTATGTATGAGTGTACAAAGCCATATGATTAAAACGTCTTGTTAAATATAACACGTATCACTCCAATGATGAAATAATTGTCGTAACGACTTTATTCTGTTGAAGCAAGCTAGAAAATGAGATTAACGTGATTTATATACGATCAGTTACCCTGTTTTAAATTAGGCTTATATATCGGAACCATGAACCGAACAATGTTAGACCACTATAGAAAACCTGGAGTGACTGGATGGTCGCTTCATTCTAAGGTGAGAATCTTCAGCTATACGTATCCACGATCTCGCACGAGGGACTCCAATCTAGGTTCTTCGACTTTACGGGCGAGCGCTTAACCCCTAGACCACTGAGCTGGCATTCAACGGTGTTACTGTCTAACTTCAACTAATCCACAATACTGCACAACCATCTTCCATCGTCTTCGGTGGGTTACTGCTTCACACCTAACACAGATTAGCTCCACTGGTTATGGCTTTTCACTAGAACCCTGAGAATTACCTCTTGAAGCTAATCACTGATGAGCACATAATAATTTTCAGTGTTTAGTTGAGGAGATTCTTAAATTTTATTGTGCCCACTAATGAATAGGTTTGACAGCTGATTCTCGGAGTTCTAGTGAGATGACATGACTGGTGGAGCTTAACTATGTCAGTTGTGAGGCAGCTAACCACCGAAGACGATGGAGGATGGTCACGCAAAGTGTTAAGAAACCGCTATAAGAACCAGATATACTAGTGGTTTACGTCAATTAACGAAATAGAAATTAAATCAAAACATTGAGTCGAATGGACAAAAGTAGAGAGTTTAGACTATTAAGCTCCATCTCCATAGAAAGCTATCTAAGTAACCTCTTTAATTATGCCAATGAGAGGTCACTATTAGTAAGTAATGTGTAAAAGTCATGCAGGATTATTCTACTATGCTAAAAGCATTCAATTAAGATTGTGTCTTGAAATACTAAGAATCTAAAATATATGTTTTTTACCTGACTTTGTTTACTCTAGAAGAAAACAAACCAGCTTTCAGCCGAGAAAACACTGAAAAAGCGCTGGAGACGGATAGGATACTCATTACGAAAACCATCAATCTGCAATATATAGCAAATTGGAATCCTCAAGGCAAAAGAAAAATAGAAAGACTAAAGAACAAATTAAGTTAGAAATCGGAAGCAAACATTAAGAAAATAAATGGCACTTGAGAAATACCAGAAAGGAGAGACCAATGAAGAGTAAGTTTTAAGATTACTGGTTGACAGCCTATACACCATGAGGGGTTACATTCGTAATTGAGTAAGCTATTTATTCATGTCCTTTTTTATTTTGATCCCAAATACTGATTTTAAGAAGAAAAAACGCACTTCTAACAGTGTTAAGTTACTAAGTCGTTTAAGGTAGTCATTCAATATAATCAGTGTTATGAAAGATAGTCTTTATGGAAGGTGGGGTAGTGGCTTACTGGTTATAATACATAATAACTTCTAGGTTACAACTTGAAACTCTAACGTGCATACATTAGTTTGGACAGTGAGATGGTGTCAACAGCTTCTACACAAAAACTAGCCGAAAGCTAGTAAATGAATTTATACTTGGCTACTGAGATCGATTAAATCCATCAATGTGAGTGTTTTCTAACTAATCTCCAAATACCACTATTAATCGACTGCGAAGAAAGATTAATTGCCAGACAAATATTACTTAAATATTTCCAAATTTATGTAGTACACTATACCGTTGACAACCACTAAGTTAGTTAAAAAGAGTTGGCCAACATAAATTCTTAAGGTCAGTGAAACTAGTTGACAAAACACTACCAGGCGCAGCAAATTAAAACGTAACATGAAGTACAGGTGTTTTGAATCACTCTAAATGTCTCGAAGCTACTATTTTTATTACTAGTTGAGTGTCAAAAGTTTAGTACTTGTAGGAAGTTTTCGATATGCAGCTTACTTAGAGACAGTCAAGTGATTCCACTATCGAAATATGACTCTACTGTTGGTAGTTTGGTATATAAGAGTTGGTTTTGGCCCAAAAAACGCCTTATTGTGACGCAAATCATGGTACTCATCTGACTAAAAAACCAAAATCCTCGAGGAAATATACAAAATAGATGAAATTTACCTGAGATAATCGCCAGTACTTAAGTCCTTCCACCTCCACGCTTTGCAAACAGCAAGCAAAAGATCAATACAAAATAAGGCGGTTCTTGAAACACAATTATTGGATGGAGAGTTGTTTTTAGTCCGTTTCGTCCTGAAAGACCCACATTGTGAACACGTTAGGCCGACTACGTACCTCGAACATCGATATAATGGACGAAAATTACGAATGACACATTTATTGCATTTCTCCATTGATTCCTCAGGTTGTTTGAAACTATGTACACAATCAGAAAGTTCCACTAAGTCATTTTGGAAATTCGCTGATTTCGGAAAACTGGATGGATTTTTCACAAGACAATAATAACCTTCACGGCCGAACTTTAATGCTTTATCTAAAGCAAGAATATCTTCTGATGACAAAGTATACACAAATGTATTAATTATGTGGAACAACGATAAATTCCCCGGAAACATTGGAAATTCCTGATACTGTTGTAATCCGTTACCAGACTCGTTCGACTGCAGCTTAAACAAAGGTTCAGGACATTCTGCATACAAATTATAGACAAAATGGTCAGTGCACTTGTGCTTGCTCAATAAACATTTTAAGGAAAATAAGAGGGCTTTTTCAACTGAATCTGGATACTCTTGATTTATCAAGACTTCATCGGTGGCTATTCTAACAACAGCAGATAAATTATTTAGAACCATTGCCTGGACAGTGACTGAATCAGTAACAAGAGACATTATCCTTTCTCTTGCTCTACTAACACGTCTAAACTTGACAATTTTACGGATCATCAACTGACTATGTTTTCATGTTACCGACATGCGAACCACTTTAACGTCAAAATAATATTAGGCAAACCTAGCGCATTTCTCGTGACCGAAAAGTGCTGAACGAAAGGCTCAACTAAACAAAGTCAAAAGTAAGTTGAAGTCACATATTTAGTAGTGGCTAGAAAAATAACAAATAATTACAAGCTAGCTGTCTTATCATTAAGACCGGTCTATATGAAAATCGGGGTTGACGAGGATTACTTTACATAGTGAGGAATTATACACAACTGACGAAATTTCGCGAGTGATGTTCTCAATATAATCTTGACGAGGTGAGGTATTTTAATGCATTTTCCAGCTATATGATTTTTTGTCACCTTCTTTTTAATCCGTTCTAAAATCGATAATAAAAAAGCTGTCTCGCAAAAGTACTTTATGAACAGATTTAGCAATATTTGAGGAATGAATTAACCATCATTAAGATAATTCGATAAACATATTAACGGTTCGACAGTTAAATTATAATCCATAAATTATCGTAGTTGAAGCACGGAAACTTCTGAATTTCTCCGTTCGTGCTGAAATTTCGTTTTCACGAATATCATGAGAAAGTTAAAGCCGATTATATTAATAAAATATATACGTATTATTATTCTTTGCAATCTTCACTAATACAATACTGTGAAAACTTGCACGTATTCAGATGATTAAGGCATGTCGTTGTTGTCAAAGAACTAGTATTTCGTGTCACCCTTTCTTGTTTTCTAGTCCCGTCAGTCCATAAGAAACACAAACAAACAGTGACCTACGTCTCGAATATTGACCATCGTCATACCATCCACGATAGGTTTGTTTTGTCCCCCAGATAATACCAGTATTTTGGGGGAAAAGACAAACTTTATAAATCTTGCCAACAACGATGCACCACAATAACAAGTCGTTTAAAAAATTCCAATAGTCACTTTATGGGCTGATGCATCGATCACCATGTAGACGGTGAACAATGAGTTAATCTAATAATTTTTTGGCGTGGTTAGATACGATGGATCCAAATAATGTGAACGGACCCAGAATAAAAAACACTATAGGCGCAGGTAATTAATGGAATGCCAACCTACACTTTAGCAATATTAGTCTTCCTCATGTCCACACGTAAAATAACTACGCTCCACTTAGCTACATTCCAAATATCCTGCTGGTGTACATTCTACAGGTACTATTTTACAAGGAAATCACACGACCATAGCTTTCGTATTAGAGGTTACATATTTACTTAGTGTCAGGTTGCTATGAAGTTAGGTAATGGCACAAATTATGGAACCATAAAAATATAATGAGTAATCTTGATAGGGTAAGGATAGATTTCTGGTGAAAAACTCTTCAAGGGAAGAGTATGGGTTTCTAAAATGATAAAAAGATGGGTGAGTAGATACAGAGACAGTGAATGTTGATAAATTTGGGACATGAAACTTAGTAAACTAAAAGTCAATGAATTAGAAAGAACCCACTGAAGTACATGGTAGCATCCGTTTTTTGTGATAAACCATAGTCAAGCAGCTTCCATAATTAAGGTGAGTCATTTGTGTGAAACGAGAATTAAAACAGAGACGAACAGCTTAAAAACGGAAGATAATGGGACAGTGAACATTGAAAACCTAGAGTTTGATGAATGCAGAATGAGTGGAGGTACAAGGATACAACACGTCGTGGTTAAAGGGAGAGAAGAGATCGTAAAATTTATTGGTCACTTATACAAATATACGAATGACTTTAGTAGTTAAATATGTTCTTGATCAATCAGCAATTTGTTAAGACATATATGATATCTTGTCCATGAAGAAGTGCGGAAATCCGGAATATGGCCACTAGTGCCTCTTAAAATCTATGAACAAGGTTACAAGTCATCCAAATTGGGTTATAGTACCACAGTCTCGTGTATGCAATGGCTGCCTGTCCCACAGCAAACCACACCGTACTTTAAAAATGTAAACTCATTAGTTTCTGGTGTTTTAAGATTAATAGTATATACGCACCTTTCTGAGTGTAAAAACATGGTCCTGGATCATAATTTCCTCGAAGGCTTAAAATGGGTGAAGATATATTATTTTGAAGTAAAGAAGTGGTTTTCCTTTAGCCGAAGGCTCAAAAAAGGGCATAACGGGGGAGATCTGTGTAGTAGATGAAGGAGTTCTTTCCCGACAGTCGGCATGTGGAGCGTTTTTGAATATTTTTCACTTGTACATTGTCAGTCACATTCATGTCTAGGAAGTTGAATGCACAGTATCTAAGGGAGGGTGGCATACATATTTCCAAAGGTGGGCTTGGTCTTTTAATTCGTGAAAGTTTATTTAAGAAACCTGCTAGTTTCCTAGAGAAGAAATTGTCTAAGGGAACTTCAGGCATTTAACTGCCCGTATACTGTTATATTAATTTCATCATTTTTACTGGTTTTCTCTTACATGTGTTTCACTCAAACTTGAACATGTTTGGTCACAAATTTGACTTTTATTTTTGTTTTCCACCATGTTTTGGTTAGGCACATGGGTTGATAACTCTTAATTTATGAAGAAATTCTGATACTTGAGTGAGAATTTGATTTTCTTGCTATTTTTGTTTAACTTCGCTATAATGTCAATTGACCGTCCTCCAAGAAAAATTCAGATCAGAATTTAGATGTGACAATCAATACAGAATATTTTACCATTGGAGACACTTTAGATTCATTGATCATCTGACACGTATTTATTGTGCGATGTCGTGGTGCATTGGGGAACTCAATATTAAATGGCGCTCATCATTACTGACATCAGAAGGGAGCTCTGAGCACAAATATCGGTATCTAATATCTCAAAATTTATTGATGTTTGGTGATGTGATGCTTCGACACAGTAAACCGGAACTCAGGTTCACTAAAATCAAATTTTGAGTTTGGATTTTTCAGTTATTATTTTTAGTGGGACGTGTATAAGTGTGCATCCATGAGTTTTGTGAAGAAACCAATACGTTTTACCGCGTGTGTAACTGAACAGAAAATATGGCTCATATTCACATTCCATTCACAATGTAGATCATTAACGTAGATGAACCGTGTCGAATGGTCGGGAGACTGCTCGGGTTAGACGCAAATGGTGTGACGAACCAGCTAATTCAGAAGTCACAGACCTAACGTAGATCACCATTCAGTCATGCCAAAGTACTATGGCAGCTTTGAAGTCTGTATAATACAATGGACGCAATTGCAAACGTATATTAATAAGAGTGGGTACATAGAAGAGAGTACGACCCTCACCGCATAGGCCAGTCCATGGCGTGTGATTAATCGATATAGTTGTCCATGATCTTGACGAGGACCGGTGAACTTTTTGACATCCAGTGACCCGACTGATTATGATTTAGTCCGGGCTCCGTGACCTCACTGGCCCAACAACTTTACTTAAAATAGTTTCTTGGAGTTCATCAGGATAATAAACTGGTACTAAAAGCTTTTTATAAATATTTCAATGTCTATGACTTTGAAACACAATAAGATTGAACAATAATATGTGTGCAGCACATGGATATCAAAATAGATCAGTGGAGATTGCACAATAGGTAATAAAAGTGTGAGTACAGAAAAATTAATTTATACCTGCAATAATCTAGAGTATGAGAAATCATATTCTGAGCAAAGGGGAGGATATATGCAGGTAAACTGATAAACAGAAATAAAGCGTCGATTAGTCATCATCTCCTGAGAACGCCAGTACGAAACTTCAGTAAAACACTGGGTTTAAATGTTTAGTTAAAAGTATCAAGATGCTCGATGTTCTTTGGTCAGCATACTCTCTGCTAATGCCAACGGTGGGGCGGGGGGAACAACTCAACTCCCACCTGAAGTGGAAATTAGAAAAAGGCGTTAGGGTTGGATAAGACATCGAGGAAATCATCAAACTACATTATGAGACAAGAGCTAACTTGAGATCCTGGAGGGGATCGAAGGAGAGGAAGGTCAAAGAACACATTGCGTTGGGAATCGGAAGTAGACATAAAAAGGTTGAATAGCAACTAGAAAGGACTTTCCAGGACAGCTAGGTGGCGAATGCTGGTGAGTGACATACTCTACTCCACTAGGAGTAACAGGCGTAAGTAGATAGAAATATATAAGTACGTGTCATTGGATATGGTTAACATTTATTAAGGGAGTTCTTTTGGGCCGCATGTTTCCCAAACATTCATCTCAAAATTTTGCTCCAAGGTTATCGCTGAGCAAGTGTGCTGTTAGAAAGTTTCTCAAACTAGGCAACATTTTGCAGTTTACTTCGGACACGTACCATGTTTTTAGGCGTAACCGCGTATCTGAAAACCCAGTCCTACGGATTTCCTCGAAATTCTTTTCAAGTAATCTATCTTTTTAAACACGCACATCTTTAACGGTTGACATTCACCTTCAGGATGAGTTATCATTCGCAACCAAGCTACTTTGAACCAAGTAGATTAGAACAGGTAATGAAGCCTTGCTGTTGATACATCTACTGAAATAGAACTTCTAATCACATATGAGTATTATATTTTCAAAGTCCTCGATCCGTCACACAACATTATTCATCCAAGTGTTTGAGCAAACGTCAAGTCCATTGCAAAATAATCCTACTGTCTTTGTAAGGACAAATATGTGAGGGTGCGAGCGATAAACTCCTTAAGCTAGTTTTGATCGTGTCTCTCTTGACCTTGTGGGTTTAGAAAATAATCGAATAGACGTTCTCCTATCCTAAGATATATTAATCGTTTCACAACATGGCTAAAAGCAGCACCTATCAAGGACACTACTGCTGAAATAGTCACGATCCCCTTCATTCAACGCTGGTTTTCGAATCCTGGTTGCACAAAATTCAACACGATAGACCATGGACTGAACGACACCACGCTCCTAGGAATCATCCGATCCTGAAAGACTACTTGTAACCAATTAGTCAGCGATATAGTAGAGCGACTCCACTGATAGTTGAAACCTCCCTCTTCGGAAGTCCACGTCTTGTTTATACGTCAACATCAGCTTAGGCGCAGAGACAATCTGTTTTAAATATACA